CACTTTTATTAAGTGAAATTATGTGAACAAAAGAGAAAAAGAAAATGAAATAAACAAATAATAGTTATTTCAACATTATTCGACAAAAATCTTAGTGGAAATAATTATTTTTTGTTTCTCCCGGTGCTCGGCTAAAGACTTCCACTGGCCGGGCGACGCCCGGTCTAGCCCACCCCTGGTTACGCCACTATTTGGAAGCCATTTTAAGCCGCTGTCTGGATATTTCTGCCATACTTAAAAAATAGTTACCACAAAGTTAACTAACTGATAGTTAACCAGAAAGTCAGTTACCGTTGAAATAACGGCCGAAGAAGTAACGGTAACTTTTACAGCCCTAATACTGACCTTTTATATTAAGATAATGTTATATATTTATCAATGAACAGCACTCAACGACGAAATCAACAAGATTTCATCGTTGTTAAACGTATTATAAACGCTCAGTCTCTGAGAAGGTTCCACCCGACAGATGAGAGGAAGTCAGCAAACAATAAATTTCGCTTAATTTTGAGCAAATCATCCTACGATTAGAGAAACTTTTACATCTGTTGCGAATCGATTTCGCAAAAAGGTTTGCTCGGTTTGACCAGTTCCTAACTGAAAAAAGTAATATTTTCTACTAGTGGTGCAAGTTATTTATTCAGTAATTGTGATGTGTGTTTTTCAGTTGTCAAGCATATGTAAAACAGACTATTGCTGAATATAGCCAATTTCTCCAGAAATATTCATATTTCTAAATACTTTTGTTAGTTTTTGTTCATCAAATAGATATGTTTCCGACATGACATCCGACAAACGTGATCGAAAGCGCTCAGCTGGATTGTTTACTGACTGATAACACACTTAAGTAAGAATATACAATATATGTTAAATACTGTCACCAATATACGTTCAATCCTTCATTTCTCGTTTTTAAACTAGCCAGACACTGTGCTCCTTCGTCGCTGATTCGATTGTTGATGAGCCAGAGTGTGGTAAGTGTCTGTGTGAAACAAGAAATATGAATATGAGACAACGAAGAGACTATTTCTCTCACCGTGTTCTTGCGTAATACTTCACCTAGATATTGTGCTCCTTTGTCGCTGATTTTATTATTATTGAGCCAGAGTGTAGTGAGCGTCTGTGTGAAACAAGAAACATCAATATGAGACAACAAAGAGACTACTTCTCTCACCGTGTTCTTGTGTAATCCATCACCTAGATATTGTGCTCCCTTGTCGCTGATTTTATTATTATTGAGCCAGAGTGTAGTGAGTGTCTGTATGAAACAAGAAACATCAGTATGAGTCAATGAAGAGACAATTTAGTAGTAGTAGAATGCTTTTATTTAAATCGTAGACTATAAGTTATAGCCCTCCCAATTCAGTGTCATGGAGGAACTTCATCCCTGTGACAAAAAATAGAAAACCATATAGAATAAACAACAAACAAGACATACACTAATCGACAACGGTTTACAAGTTTTTCTTTTTACAATCCAAATAATTTAATTTTTACTAAAGGAAGATAGGAGATCATAATAGCTGAGTCAAAAACAAATAACATAATCAAACAAGAAAGGTTTGTAGTCGTAAAATAGATTAGCGATCTTTTTACGCGTTCTACCTTTGTTTACAATTGCTCTTTTATCTTTTAACAAGGGATTATGATAGTATTCATACATATATAACAAATACATTTTGTGTTGAAGAAAATCACATATCACAGATGGATTTATTTGAAGAATAGTTGGAATGAGTTTAGACCAGTGAATTTGAGTGAGTTCATCCATCGATTTTTAATTAGGCGAATTCGAGATTTCGACATTTGTTGCATCATACTAATGATGAACTATTCTAAACATCTGTCCGTTTAGAGCTTCTAAGTTGTTTTGTTTTGGATAAAATCGGCTAAATGCTTAGTAGTACGACCTCATATAAGCATTATACAATCGATAGGCTCACTCAGCATTCGATTGGATGATAGACATTTAAACACAGAAGAATTTTTCCGAATTTTGGAGTCTACATAGTCAAGGTGTGAAGTAAATGAGAGCTTACAATCAAAAACAGTACCAAGATTTTTAACTTTAGAACAATGTCAGATAGTATGTCCGTCACAAATAATAACAGGAGCAACTTGACGATGAAATAGAGCTCAGAAAGTCTTTTGGAAGTTGATAGATTGTTTCCAAGTCGTAGAGTAGGAAATTAACGAAGAAACAACACCTTTAATTTGTTCAACAAGATTAGGTATGAGAAGTCTAGACGAAATCCGGTCTGTTCATTGAGAAGAATGCCGGTATCATTCACCCACTGATGGAAATGAGCAAGAAAAGCCTTTTCATACAATTTAAAAAAGCACGGGAGAAGAGAAATAGGATATGTGTCACTCATATTTACAATATTTGTTTTGGTTTTTGATAATAAAATCATTTTGGGCAGTTTGCCAGTGCGGGGGAACACACAATTGCAAAGAAAAAAATTTAAAGGACGAGTAGAGAAATGAATGATGAGGTCGTGGTAATAACTTGATCATTTTGTTAGAAACTCTGTCTAAACCAGATGAATTTTTGTTTTTCAAAGATGAGATCGCTTTTGTATTGTCCTCTAATTTGATGAGAAAGGCTACTGGTTTACTATCATTGATTCCGATCCCAAGTTCATTATCCACGGTCTCGGTGTCCATTTCAATAGAAGAAAATGTATTTACATGTTCAGAAAACTGTTCTTCGTAAAACGATTTGGCAACATCACACATTTTACTCGATGAAGAAATAACAGACCCGTTTGAAGACAGAAACCCTTGAATAGGCGAAGGAGATAACGAAAAATGTCTTTTTGATTTTTTCCAAAATTGCTTTATATCGCATTCGTTTAACGTTTTACAATACTCACGCCATGATAATCTCTTATAAGCAGACATTTCTCTCCGTATCGTTAAATATGCTTTTAATTGTGTGATGAAAAATGAATGTTTTGTTTTTCTAACAAGACGTAAATATATTTGTTTTTGTTGTATCAAGTTAACAATATGAGGAGGAAGTGACGACTTATAAGAGTTACAAAAAGATGCATATGTAAGGCGTGATGATACTAACGATAGAAAACGTTCATAAATACAAAAAAATTGTACAGTGTCTTTCATAGTAGAAGACAAATTACGTGAGCGTTAAGAACAATTCGATCAGCAACCAGTATGTACGTTTCACAGGATAAAAATAATCTCTTTTTAACAATTTAACGGCAGGTATCCACACGACAGGAAAATGGGCACTACCCATAGACGGAAGAACGGAGAACAAAGATGTGGTTGATATCATCTGTACGGGAGTCAGAATAAGATCGATCGTTGCACTTGATCGAGTGGAAATAGAAACATATTTGTTTACAATTTCAAGAAAATTAGAAGATAACCAATTAAAGAGAACACGACCTTTTTGATTTTCAGTAGAGTTAGACCACGACAGGTGTTTAGCATTAAAGTCACCGAGTAAAATTGTATTACAATTTCGTTTTAAAATTTGATCAAAAAGAGAAAGAGGCAAATTTTCTTTAGGAGGAGAGTAACATATAGCTAGCTAAAACTTGTCAAATGACACACCTATATCAAGAACAATAACATGTTATTGTTATTGCTCTTGAAGAGACTGTTTCTCTCACCGTGTTCTTGTGTAATCCATCACCTAGATATTGTGCACCTTTGTCGCCGATTTTATTATTATTGAGCCAGAGTGTAGTGAGTGTCTGTATGAAACAAGAAACATCAATATGAGACAACAAAGAGACTATTTCTCTCACCGTGTTCTTGTTTAATGCTTCACCTAGATATTGGGCTCCTTTGTCGCCGATTTGATTGCTGTCGAGGCCGAGCTGCGTGAGTGTCTGTGTGAGACAAGAAATATGAATATGAGACAATGAAGAGACCATTTCTCTCACTGTGTTCTTATGTAATGCAGCATCTAGATATTGTGCACCTTTGTCACCGACTTGATTGCTATCAAGCTGGAGTTCCGTGAGTGTCTGTATGAAACAAGAAACATCATTATGAGACAATGAAGAGACTACTTCTCTCACCGTGTTCTTGTTTAATGCTTCACCTAGATATTGGGCTCCTTTGTCGCCGATTTGATTGTTGATGAGGCAGAGTGTAGTGAGTGTCTGTGTGAAACAAGAAATATGAATATGAGACAAC